TTGTTAAACTTTGAATGTTAAGTAAATTGTAATTAAAATTATTAGAAGAAAAACTAAGAATGATCGATTTGTTTACATATATTATTAAATATGTTATTCAGTTATGAATTCTATAATCAATTTTCAATTTTTATTTAATTAGCTTGATTTTTTAAATGCTGTGTAGAGAATTTAATTGAAAAAAGTATATGAGTTATCCTAGCATTTATTTTAAATGAAATCCTTACTGAAATTCAATAGTATGTTAAACAAAAAATGATTTATTAATTCAATTTTAAGTAAATAACCTATTTAGATGTAGTAATTATATTGAATAATAAAATTAATGAGTGATTAAATCATAATTAAAAAAAGAAAAGGAGAATATATTGAACAGGAAGGAAAAGTGATCAATGTTTAATTAAATTCATCAGGTCAAACTATTTTGAATCTGAAAAAAGAGATTGCTAAAATTAGTATAATTTACTTATATTAAGCTAAAATCAAACCAATAAGATAATGGCTGACTACAGAAGATAAATAGAGAGTTTTTGAAAATAATGAATTACCTTTAAATCTCTCAGGAATTTAGAATGGTCAAACTTTAGTAGTGAAGGATTTGGGCCCTTAAATGCTTTGGGGTGCAGTTTTTTACATTGAATATCTTGGACCAATTTTAATGTTCTTTATGCTTTACAAATTAGGTAATTAAGAGAATTACACATTTATGCAAAAGTAATCATTTTCAAAAATCAATTATAGAACAGCTTATTGGATGGTGATTTTACACTTCATTAAAAGAATTTTAGAAACAAAATTTGTTCATGTCTTTAGCAGAAATTCGATGCCCCTAAAAAGGGCCTTCATCAATTGTTTGCACTATTGGATATTTTGTGGATTTTTTATTGGAATTGAACTTTTCTATTTAAGAAGCTTTTCTAAACTTTAGTCTTGGAAATATATTTTTGTTGGATTTTTTGGATTGTTTGAATTTTTGAATTTAATGTGCCACATAAGGCTTTCAAGTTTTAGAAAGAAACCCGAATTAAAGTAAAGCGATGGCAATTATATTGCTTAAAACAAATAAAGATAAATTCCATTTGGTTGGGGTTTCGGAGCAGTATCATCGGCTAATTATTTCTGGGAAACAATGGCTTGGGTCAGCTTCTCATTATTTACTTGTTCATATGCAGGTATTCATAGTTATATTCAATAGCTATTGCATTTACAATTTTTTCTTTTGGTTAGATGCTGATTTGGGCAAAGTAAAAGCACAAGCGATATATTAAGGAGTTCGGGGATAGATATCCAAGAAATAGAAAAGCAATGGTGCCTTACATTATTTGATGATATCATATAATCAGTCATTGAATTCATAAAATAAATCTAATTTTACATTATTTTGAAAATTAAAAAAGTAAAAAACCCAATTTATCATTCTCGTCGTTGCAAGAATTAGTAATATCAAAAGTTAGAAGAAAATCTTTAAATAAAATTGCAAGTGTCTCTATTTATTAAATTAATAATAATATAATAATATACATAAATATTTATATCCACGACGATGTCCGATTAAACTAAAACTTGGGTTGAAGATGTTGAACTTATTATTTCTTAGGCATCCAATTTTATTAAAATTAATATGAAATAACCAATTTATGATTTAGCAAATCAAATTCCTTTTAATGATTGGAAAAATACATATTATATTCCATTAAGCAATCAATATGAGAAATGGCCAGAAAGGTTCACATTATTTAAATAAAACAATATATTGAGTTTAGGAAATCAAAATCAACGGTTAATTTTTCTTGGATTAAGCACTTTAGCTCTAGTATCTATTTCAAAAAGAAGTATATTTTGGGTGTAATAATTATTAGCCTCCTCTGGATTATTGCCAATCTTAAGAAACTCTGTAGTGACTTATTTTGGTTTAGGATTAGTTGTGGCCCCGGAAATCTATAATCCTCTGCTTGTCAAGAAGAATAAAAAGAATTGAAATATTGCAAAAAATATAAAACAAAATTATCTATAGTACATTGAGTGGAGTATTTATTCACTATTGATTAACTACTATTTCTTTTTTATTTTTGATCTGAAAATAATAGCGTTAAATAATTTTGCAGCAAATATTGATATAGAATAATTTATCTTGAAATTTAACTTAATTATTATAATAATAATTTTGATAAATGAATTATCAAACCAAGTTTTTGCTGAAAAAAGGTGTGTTAGTATAGCCAAAAAATTTAAGAACTTAATCTATTTTAAGCGAAATTACCAATTATTAGTCATCAAATGATCAAAACATAAAATATAAAAGAAGGAGCGCTATTGTACCAGTTCCGCAGAAGGATGATGAACTAATAAATAGAAATTCCATGTTGTAACCAATTAGAGTATATCAACAAGAACCAAAATATATATATGAAGAAGAGATAAAAGAAAAAGAATATCTAGAAGACTTGAATGTAAATATTTTTCGATTATTAGTATAAAAGAATAAACCATCTTAGCTGTCACAATTTCAATTAAGAATAATGCCAACAGCTAATAGATTGGATGATAAAAACTGTCAAACGCTATTAAAAAACTAGCTATCAAACTTTGTTTCATTGCGTGGAATTATTAGATAAATTTTTGTGCAATACAAAAGGATTCATAGTTGATGATCTATAACTTATAGGTAGTTGTTGCATCTATCTATCATCAAAATTTAATGATATGTACCCTATTTGCATTGAAGACATGATAATTGATGTATTAAAATTTATTAAAATTAGATTTGTCAAGAAACTTATACAATTCATGAATTTTTATCAATGGAATATACAATATGTAGAAAACTGCATTATAATATACATTTTCAAACTCCGTTTGAATATTTTGAAAAAATATTTTTCCATCTTAAACCTTTTTTATCTTAATTTTATTAAGACTACTAGATAAACAACATGAAACAAAATGCTTTAGAACTACTCTAATACTCCATAATTGCTTATGAGTTTCGAGAAATTACTCATTATAACAAGGCAATAGCTTGTATCTATGAGGTCATCAAAACAACTGATAAAATAATAGTATAATTGTATTGTTATTTTATTAGATTTAAAACTTATTAGATCTGTTAAATCATTTAGAACTAAATTTCAATTGCATTCAACTTAATGCAAAAGAAATAAAAAGATATCTGAATTTGAATAAAGAAAAATATAGATGTGTAAATAATTACTTTTATTGATATTTTAATTATTTAATGCTTATTGTTAAAGGAGGTCCCCCTTAGAAAATAGGAAAGACTCAATCGGTTCATCACATGCCTTAAGATTCTCATTTAATAGTAAGAAAAAACAATTCTAAATTAGAAACTCAATCCAATTCTTACACTTAAAACAGAAGGTTGTTTTGATAGCACTTTGAATCAAATTTATAATAGTGTTAGTGATACAGAATATGTTTATGGAAGAATATTTAAGCAATTGATACTATTTGTTGATACAAAATTTAGTGAATTGACGGAAAAAATAGATAACTTCGATAATTTATCTGATATCAACACACATTTATTAAGGATATAGTCCTCTTAAGTAAGCCCAATCATGAAATAAAGAAATGATGACAGTCCAAGTGGAATTGTTAGAAATAAAAGTTCTGGATCATTGTTACAATAAGATAATACTAGTTTAAGTGAAAAAGGGAAAAACTCTCCAAGTAAGAAGATTCTTCAAAGAAATGGTTTATCATCATCAAATGCAATGGATATAAATCGTTTAAACTAATTCGAAAAGAAAATTAGATAAACAGAGGAAAAATAAACTAAATTTGAGCAGGATCAATAGGATAGGTTTTCAGGTTTTTAAAACAGAATTGAAAAAATTATTCGATCCATTTAAGATAAACAATAGTCTCTATAATTTTCAGATTTATATAGGGGCATTTAGGAATTTTCTGAAAACTAAAAATAAATAGTTTCCTTCATCTCAACCTCCTAAAATGAAATGATGTAAAAATAGAATATTTATATAGCGAAATTAATAAAAAATTACTATCAACATCTAGAGAACATTAAGACTAGATTAATCTAATAAAAAACACTGTTGAATAAACAAACTTAGCATATTTAGCTTGTAATGAGAAGATTGAAACTTTATAAAATAGTATACAATAAATCGATTAAGACTTACTCATAATTTTAAAATGTTATAAGGATGTTTTGAATGATGTGTTTAGAATTGAAATATTGGAATAACAATTGAAGAGAATTTTAAATATCCTTAATAATTATCACTGAATTAAATTCTTTATAATGAAAATTTTTATAAAAAAAATTTTGAATTACATAAAATTACTAATTAAACTAAATGGTGGTGCCTGCATAAATGCTTCTCTTTCTTTGAATTTATAAAAGCATCATATTTAAAAGCATATTTCTAAGTTTAAATAATCTTAAAATAGTGTTTGATTATTAATCTAATTTTTTCATTATTCATAATATATTGGATTTTGAAATTTGAAATTTTCATAAATTTGATTCATTAATACAGTGTGAAAGAGCTTTAATCTGACAGATTAGTCCAGTAAAATTTTATTTTTATTATCATTCTTCCATATATCTATCATTTATATCTATTTTGATGATGTTATCAAAAAAAGTTTCTGAAGTTACGTTTTATCTTTAATTATCTTGATAATATAGAAGTTTTTGAATAACAATAAATTTAGCTTATAAATTCATTCCTCTAAAATTGTATATTTACATTATTTTTTGGATATTAATTTTTTAATCTACATTTTTGACCTTTGAACTTAACTCTATTTACCAACTTTTAAAAAAATTGGAACATCAATAATTCACATTGCTCAAACATAAAATTATATAAAATTAATACTAATTTCTTAATTTTCTAGAAACTAAATATCAAATAAGGGAAGAAAATATTTATCAAAAAATTTTCTCCACTCGTGTTAATATTAAACTATTTTATGAGCAAAAAAACCCTCAAAAAAATTCTTGCAAACCTGAAATTTTCATTGAATTGAGAACATATGTTTTTTCTTGTTCTAATTTTAACAAGCATTTGATTTTTGAAATTACCAGAACTTTTTTAAATAAAAATTTGTTAATATCTTAAATGCATTCATAATTTATATTTTGATTCTGATGACTTTAATTATTTAATTAAAAGCGGGTAATTAACAAAAATTTTTATTATTTAAATACATTAATTATGCAACATCCTCAATATAAAAAGCACTAAGGTTTTGTTACCGAAAGTAAAAGGTTTAAGCGAGGGATATTGAATACAATAAACAGACGACATACAATATGCTGCCTCTAAAGTGATTTATATCAATTTGAACTTTGAATAATTTCATAAAAGAAGTTATTCAAGTTCTCATTCAACATACGATCAAGATTCCAATTTGAAGGAGGATGTCTCTAAAACTTCAAAAGATGACTAAAATAACTAACCTTAAAAAAATTAATTGAATTGTTCTCAAAGTGAGAGCAAATCAATCCATTCATCCAAACAATCTAACCAAAAAAAAAATGATGATGACATAAACAATATTTACTAAATCCGAAAAAATGAAGTGGATTTTTAATAATTTAAATAAGATTTTTAGTTGGATGTCTTTTAATTGGAAGCCTTGTACTATTACCTTTTAAGAGCTGGCTTCCAACGCTCTGCACCTTTGTAGATTCCCCCGTACCTTTGCTACTATTTTTATTCTATAATTTTATATAGAAGTGATATATTTAAGATTTTAGCTCAATATATCGATATGAAAAGTCGAGATCAATAAAGATAGTAATTAATGGAATTGTAGGGGAAGTATTTCTAAGAAAAACTCAATAATTAATGCTTGTCATAAATTGAGTTTTATAATTACTTAATTAAAGATTATCTTAATGAAACCATGTTTTTTGATCTTCTAGATCAAAAATTGATAAATTAAAATTTGATTATAATTTGCTTCTTGATGATTTTTTGAAATACTTTTTATTATCAACTCGATAAGTTTAGAAAATAAAAGAATCTTTAGGAGATGCCAATATTTATATGAAAAACAACATAGCTTTAGGAAATATTAGATTTGTCTTTAAAAAAAAGGATGGGGAATTAATTAATTATAAATTCCCTTTAGGAAATTTTTCAAATATGCAGTTTTATGATTATGTCTAGTTTTTGAAAGATTTTGCCAAATAATTACCTGTAACTAAATCAATTCAGTCTTTTAATGAATATACTACCGAACCCCATAGCGAAAGGACAATGATATTATATCTTTTGGTAGACTTTGAATTATAGAAAACAATATTGAGAGAATTGAATGAAAGTTTAAACGATTTAAAAAATACGAGTTAAATTCAAAATCTAATCCGAATTTACTTGGAAATAACTACTGAGAACAGAATTTGCAGTTAATGTGTAAGTATGTTCTAGCATATTCCAGTGGAGTTTATATGCTAGACATTTCAAGAATGTTGTGGTTTAGGAGTGGATGAAAAATTTTAATTTATTATTATTTCATAATATTTATTAGATCCTTAAAAATAAAAAAAATAAAAAATCATTCAAAGAATTTGGAGGAGAGAAGACAAAATGAAAATAAATAATACCAAAAAAATAATTTAAACAAAATTATTAAATTATAGATACACAATAATTTTTTTTTAAAAGTGTTATGCTAGTACTTTTAACATTCTGGGATGAAATTAATTTGTTTCAAGTATCATTAAACAAAGGGTATCATTAGTTTATTCGAATTTATCTATCAATATAATTAACAACCTGTAAAACCAAATTTATAACCAAATATGGAGATTTAATAAGAGTGATGATGCAAATAAAAATGACAGAGATAGTTATAATTTGTTTTTGGAAATTAAGAAAGGCTATGAATCTTTAAAGAATATTTGTGAATAAATTCCTCAATAATAATTAGATGTTAATTATTCAAACTCAAGTACTACTAATAATTTAGAATTTATGGGTGAAATTGATTTTTTTTAATCTTTGCTCTGATTCCAATGTCTAATAATAAGTAAAGAAATTTAGATGAAATATGAGAAATTGTAATTTTACCCAGAAAGTTTATATTTTAAAATCCAAACTAGAAGGTATAAGCCTAATAAATAGTAAGTATTTCTAATTAATTCACATTTTTATTGCGAATGATTAGTCCTATTACAATTTTCTTGAATTCATTTTGGATGATTCTAACATGGATAAATAATTTATATTTTTTTAACATAGCATGCCTGCTTAAAGTTTGATATTTTCGCCATCCCATTTTTTATTGAATTGAATTAACCTACTGACTCCATATTATTTTAAGCACCTCCAAAGTTTGCTGATACAGGTGTTAATCTTCTATTTATTTCTAATATTTAGATATTTTTTGTTTGCTCATTTCTATAGATCTATAGGAATGTCAAAAATTATTTTTCTTTTGAATTTTAAATTAAATTTATAGAATAAAACTTTTCATTAAAAGCATTTGATAAAGGAGATTAAGAAGTTTACAAAGAAAAGCTTTAAAATTTCTTAAATTATTACTTATAATTTTCAAATTTAGTTTTGAATATATCTATAAAAATACTGTTTATCTATACTAATACAATATCTAGCAGATTAGATATTTTCATGGCAGGTCTATTTTCATTCCTAGCAATTCAAATTTCGATAGTTAAATTATGATTCTAAATTACTAAGTTTGATTTTGATTTTTATTATTTTTTCAGTGTTTATGCTTGCAGGTTCAAAGTAACCTCTCTAATTAAAGAATTCCATATATCAACGCATATTTTTTTCAATTTATGAATACATTAATTATAAAAATTCACATACAATAAAATATTGTTATTGGAATATTACTAAGTAGACAACCTTTACACTTTTGTATTTCTTCTAGAAACCAATTTACAAATTACTTTATACAACACATCCTGTTCAATATATTAGTTATTTCTATTTTATGAAAATCCTTTTAAAGATAAAACATCATTCTTTTAAAATAGAATGTGCCAGATTTTTGTATCTTTTGTATAACATCGCTGAATATTTTAGATTTTTAAAATATAGAGTTGACTGGATTAAAATTTCATTAATTAGTATATTGGAACAATTTTTTTTAAATATGAAAGTTAAATATTTTAATTATTATCAAAATATTGTTCTTCATTACAAAATCTAACAATAAAATACAATTAGTTTCTACTAAATAGAATAGTAAACTCTCAGCCCAAATTTTGAATTTTTAAAATATTCATAAAATTAAATTACTTTTATTATTTACTTTAACTGTCTTCAATTATTTAATAGAATAGCAAAGTGTAAAAATAAATTAATCAATATATAAACTAAAAAAAAGTTAAAATAATGTCATTGAATAATATTTCAAAAGTACCTTATTTTAAGTTTTTGTAATCAATATTGATATCATTAATAGATTGTAGTGGATTAGGAAGCGCATTTTTTGTTGGATTTTCAGGATTCTTAATATACTTGATCATTATTATATATTTTAGATATCTAAAAGGCAGGTCATCAAGAGAATCTTATTTTGAAAACTTTTTAAACGGTGGGCTTGAAACATCTGATTTATAATAAAATTTTAAATTAAAACCGTTGAATGCAGAAAAAAAGAGCGATTTTATTCTGTTCCAGGCATAGATAATTGAAGAATTACATGAAATTTTGTTTGATAATAATAAAGTATGTTGAATTTTATAGGATAACATTTTCTAATAAATTATTAAGAATTTAAAGTTATTATATTCCATCATTTTCTAAAGATTAAAGTCTAAACATATATGAATAAGAATAGAAGTTTATCTTAAAAATTGATACAAAATTTATAGGTAATTTTTAATTCAATATTAGAATTTAGAAATTATACTAAAAACCTGAGTTTCTAAAAATTCGATCATTTGGTTTTAGATATTTAAGATGTAAATTCCTATTTATAAAATAAAAATCTTTATTTATGAATTAGTAATGATTTATTTATCATAAAAACAAGATTATTTACAAATATAAATTTCTCTAAAAAAAATATGAAAATCATAAACAACATTCCGCTTTATAATATATAATAGTGAGGTTCTATAAACTTATTCATATTAATAAATTATTGTACATCCAATAGAAATGCTTCCTATATATCAAATATAATAATAGATCTTAAAATCACTCAATTAACTATTTTCAATTAAAATCTTGTTTAAAATTTACAATTTATTGAATAAAAGTATAATTCTTAATACAGATTGTCTATATTCAAATATTAATATTTGCAAAATCGATGATTAATTAACTAACGTAATAATTTAAAACTATGTATTGTTAAAAAATCATATATAGAAGATCAAATATTAGTAAATGTTTTTCAGTACTAAATTATAGTTAATTAAATACTAAAAAGAGTCAAATATAAAACAAATACTTTTAGAATATATGTCCATTTATTTTTGATTGTAATTAAAAAATATGCATATAATTTAAAAAAAAATAATACTAATATTGATATATCAATTATCCAGGAATATAAAAACTGCACAGCATTGTAGTGTATAAATCTTGAAATTTAATTTCTATTTTGAAAATTGAAAAGAGAGTTTAGAACAGATAGCTTTCTTACTCCAAATACATGTCTAAAATTGGGATATTGATTGATTATTTTCTGATAATAATTTGTCTTGGATGATGTAATCTGCTCCAATTTCATTTATTTAAGAGAGTTCTGCAGCTTGGGAATATGCTTAGATCTTTATGAGTTATTCCTACGTTAAATTTTAGAGGCAATCAATTCTAATAGAATTGAGCCTACTCATATAAAGCTATCTTAATATGCCAACCAAATAAAGATACAGCAATTTCGCTTTGCAACTATTGAAGATCATATAAAAGTAGAAATTTAAACAAGAAGCCTTCATATCCTGTTTTTAAATTGCTCTTAATATATTCTAATTAAAAAGCAATTTATAAGCTTGAATTGAAAATTCATTTACTCTTACTTCAAAGTTAGCTTGAATCTCTTGCTTGTAGTTTAATAGAATTAAGCCATAAAGAATTTTTAGTTAAATTTAATGATAAAGAAGAAATCATTATAGCTCTATTAATATTAATGCTAAAGCTATTGGTTGGAATCTAATAAATTTTTGAATAGGCTATTAATAATGAGAATTTCTGAAGGAATTCATGTTTTTAAGCTAAATCTAAATTAACTTAAAGAATTTCTCTCAAAAGAAATGTTATAACAGGGATTATCGCTAATGAGATTGAAGAGATACAAAATAAAACAATTAAGGGAAATCTATTCTAAATTTTTAATTCAGTCTCTATAAATAAATGATTGGACTTAAAGAATGCTCAAAGTTTTTTTCTAACCTGCTTCTAATTAATTTCTTAATTCATTAATCAAGAAGGAGCTTCCTCAAGTTCATATGATCAATCATTTTATAATTCTTCTAATCTTATTCTCCTCAAATTTAAGACATGAACACCAACATTAAGATGTTAGAAAGAAAGAAATACTAATATTTATTAAATTAAATTTAGGGATTTTAAATAATTATCACCTAAGAGATTAATTAACATTTATTTTGGATTGCAAAAATATTTGTACTTGATTGAGAATTACAATTTTATTAATCGTCAAGATTAATATAGATTCTTAACAGGTATTCTAAACCAACTATATCATGCCTTTTCTTACAAAAGTTTATTTCCTTTATTTATATTAGGAGAAGATACTAATTTATCTCCATTAACAAGGAAAAATATAATTCTTAACTTTGAATATCAGATCTCAAAGAGGCATTTAGTAATGAATGAAAAAAAAATTTATTTTTCTACTTAATTAATCTCGAAGTAAATTATTATTAAAGGCGAAAAATAAAAAATTTTAATCAATAAAGGCACTCAGAATTTCTAATAGAAAAAGGAAAATACTTAAAAATCTTTTTCTAATTATAGAAGTCAAATTATTGTTACCAACCATTCCCTTCCATATCAACTTAATAATTTTTCAATATTATTGGAAATTTGTGTTGAACTGTTCTATGCTATTATATAATATATTCTCAGATAAAGTATAGCAAAAACTCTGAAATCGAAGAGATTAAACTTAACGTTGATCAATTCTTTTTTTCATTCTAATTTGAATGCTATAACAATTTATAATAGAATTATGTTTTCAGCATTAGTCAGAAAAATTGGATTCATAAGTTTTTGAGATTTTTGTTAATTATTATATTTACCAAATGATTGAGGACTAATTCTATCAACCAAAAATAAGAAATAACTCATTATAATAGAGAGGGATCAAAAATGAAGATAAAATCATATCAGCATCCTATATTTAAGTCTGCTATGATGTCTAAAGAAATACTATAATACCATTGAAAAATGTTAATTATCATTTAACTATCCTTCAAGGTTTATCAGTCGTAGAATTGTAACAAATATATTCTACTGAAAACTATGATTATCCTTTGGAGCTAGAATATGTATTTTCAATCAATGAGAATGCAGCTGTCACGAAAATGAAAGTTGAATTAGGAGAAAAAGTAGTTTATGGAATAATAAAGGAAAAAGAGGAAGCTCAGATAGAATATAACAATGGAATGAACCAAGGAAAAACTATGGTTTATAGTGAGGAAGATAAAGAATTTTCTTAAATAAAAAGAGTAAGAATAGGGTAACTTGCTCCAAAAAAAGAACTAAAAATTATTTTTTAATATGTTCAACCTTTAGATGTCTTCTTAAACAAATTTTGGAAAATTGACATTAATCCAATAATTGATAACAATTATTTACACTAAAAAGATTAGAGTCAAAGGCAGAATAGTTAGATTATTAATTACCTAAATTCAAAATTTAAATTGAAAGAATTTAAATTTTTATATAAATAAGACATACAGATTACATTTGATACTGGATCTCACATAACTTTTTGGAAATCTCCAACTCATAAACTTCATTCTATAGATGTCGATGATGCTAAATAAGATGGAAAAAACAATAAAATAATTCTTAGGTTAGCTAATATTCCTGAAAATTAAAATCCTGAAAAACAATTTACATTGCTTTTTTCTTCTGATGACATTAATCTTCCAAGGGCTATACTGAGTCATACCAACAATGATGCATTAGAATATTAGAAATATTGTGCTACGTTAACCTTTATTCCAAAATTTAATTAGGTATCTCTAGATGATGCTTACACATAATATCTTGATAGTTTAAGCTTACCATATAATTAAATTTTAAACAGAGGAAATTACTTATTTTTTATTGATAGAAGTGGATCAATGAATGGATAAAGAATTAAGAGAGCAAAGGAATCTTTAATTCTCTTTTTGAAAAGCTTACCTTAAGATTCTTATTTTAATATAATATCATTTGGTAGTAAATATATTTCAATTTGGAATGAATCAAAGCAATATAACTAAGAAACTTTAGATGAGGCAATTAAATGTGTAGATAACATGAATGCAGATATGGGAGGTACTGAGATTTACACTTCCTTGAAAGAAATGGTATATAATAGTAGTTACGGAACATCAAATGAGACAATTTTGAATGTATTTTTGTTAACTGATGGAGAAGATACTGCAAAACCTATTATTGAATTAGTTTAGAATAACAATAGAGCAGAAACGAGAGTTTATACCTTAGGAATTGGATCGGGATGTAATTAATATTTAATAAAACGGATGGCTGAAGTTGGTAATGGGAAGTTTCATTTTGTAAGTGATAATGAAGACATTAATGCTAAAGTAATTGAGTTGTTGGAAGATTCTTTAACCCCATATTTGAAGGCTTTTAAAGTAGAAACTAATGCAATAAAAATTTCTTCAATCATCCCAGATCCTGAATCAATTGTTAGTTTAAAAAAAAATTAGGAATTAACAATATAAATACTTTTCTCCAGTTAATAGGATTAAGACAATATTCAATTTAAAATCAATTGCTTTGATTCATAAGATCAAAAGCAAATAAATTATAATGTGAATTTAAATTTAAATTAATCTAAAGACAATGAATATTTTCATAAATTGGCTGCTCACAAGTTTATTACTTATTACGAAAATGCTTTGAAATATGGAGAATAATAAGTTAATTTTATTAAACTTAACAAAAAATATCTTGATGATGAGGATATAGTCAATTTATCAGTAGAGAATCAAATATTGAGCAATAAAACAGCATTTGTTTGTGAAATATGTGAACTAGAAGATCAATTTAAATAGTAAGCGAGGTCAAAAATTACTATATAAATACCTTAAAGACCTAAATCTCTTGAAAAAACTTTCTATGCTAAATCTGCTAGAATGCAATAATGTATGGGACCTCCATAGTTTTGTTCACAACCGAGACCAATGCCAATGTGCTCACCATGCATGCAAATAGAACCACCTCGGCCATTTATGTGTTCACCTATGGAAAATTTGCAATTAGAATATTGTGCACAAATGAAAGATTTCCCTATGAAAAAAATAAATGCACAACTTCAACTACAAAAATTATCAGATATAAAGAAAGATGAACTAAATGTTAAGCTCTCCTATAATTAATTGATTTAATTCGCATAAGCAGATGGAAGTTTCAAGATAAGTAATGATATTTAATTAAAAATAAACTTTAATAACTTAAACAATGAATAAGGCCTAGAAGATGATGTATGGAATACTTTGCTAATTTTACTTTATTTAGAAAAATCTTGTAGTGAAGACAAGAAATCATGGCAATTAGTTTTTTCCAAAGGTATTTTATATTTGAGTAAGCACGGAATAAACTACACTGAAAAGAAATTAGAATATGAACATTCATAGGCATGAATTAATTATATATTATTAAAATAATTATACATTTATTACTAAGGTTTTACTTTTCTATGGATTTAACCATATAAGCCAAAAGTTATTGAATAATATTAAAAACTTGAAATTTATTGAAATAAATTTTATGTTAAAATAATAATCAAAAAGATAAAAAATATAATCTAATATTTTTCTATCAAATCATACAAAATAGAAGCTTCCTCAATTATTCAAAATATATTTCTTAAGGAATCCTAGATCCAAAACGTTTCCTGAATATCAATTTGAATATTTTCACAAGCTATCTAAGAAAAAAATGGGACTTATTTTCATTTTTAGCTATGAGGATTTGGTTTTTATTTTTAATAATTCTTATATCAAAATATTTCTAATTGCTATCAACTTTAGTATTAAACAGAATCTAGAACTAATGAGACAAAGTGAAATAAATTAAATAGAGAAAGAAAACTTTATAACTATAAGCAAAATGCTAATATTTAGGAATGATGATTTATTATTGTGGTAAAATATTTAGCCCTTGAGGGCCAGATAAAAATGATGAATTATAAGTTAAACAAAATCAAATATATATCCTATAAGATTATTTCAGATACCTACTCTTATAATTCCTACAGATAAAATATTTTTTTAAATATCTTAAGATTGCCATAACAGATCAATGATTATTGATGTGGAAATAAAAAAGGAAATAAAAAATTTGGAAGAAGATGATAACAACAGTGTATTCAACAATTTTTAATGATAATTAGAATTATAGTTGTAAGTTGTTTTTCAAAGTAACGATCTTATCTTTAGTAAAAGTTGCTGAGAGTTGCTCTTAATGGTCAAGTTACTTGTATTATTTATAATTGAAAATTTAATGAGTTTTTCTATTGCTATATAATATTTAATTTGCATGTTACCGTTCTTTTAAATATATAACCTCCAAAAATATTCTTTTATTCATCCTTTATATTAGAGTTAAGATCTTCTATTAATAAAAGAAGAGGAAAAACTCGTTCTCCTACTTCTTTATATAGAGAGACATTTTTCATCCATTCTTTTTCTTATCTTTTTTCATTTCATCTAACCATTAATTATATCTCCTTCTTTTAAATTTCTAAAACTCTTTTCATACTCAAAATTGAAAATAGTTATAGTTCTATCAATTTTCTTCTTTATCTATCTATTCTCGATTGGTTGTTTTTAAATTTTGATAAAAGAGTCAGAAAGCATATTAATCAAAAGGAACTAACTCAGAT